AGAGTGAACCAGTGAACTCTGAGCGCATCAAGGTGGATTACTGCGACAGTCCAGCTAGACTCTTTTAGAATGCGCGGCGGCAAGAATTGGTGTCGGCGTGTCAGTGATGTCATCTGGACAGCTGTGTGTTTGTGCGTGTGTGCCCAGGAAAGGCACAGAGGCGGAGCTTCACTGCACGTGAGCTTTGTCTCTGCCTGGTTCGTGGCCACTGGCGATGGTCTTCAGCGGGGGAATTCCTCGGTCGAGAGAGCATTGCGAAACTGTTGGGCTTCAGTCGGTTTGGCGGCGCAGACGAAGCAGCGGGAGAAGCGACGGACGTCGCCGTTGTGCACGCAATGCACGCAGCTTATAGCTCACTCAGTTTTTTTTTTTGCGCAGATTACTTCCGCGTTCACAAGAAGATACCTTCCAACAGAAATTTTCGCAGTGTCAATCTCCTAGATGTTGAATCACTGCGGAAACTGCTACCAGAATCTGGTAATTTTCGGAATACACACAAGGTCTGCCAGCACTGCTTTGGGCGCCTCAAGGCGCTCCTATCTTCATCTGCCGGCACACCTGACGAAATCGACGAAACATCTCTTCAGGAAGAAAAAGCAGTCAATGACCTGACCAGGTACGTCCAACTTTCCAAAGTTTCTCCGTTGAAGCCAACATCTTCCTTTCGGTAACGGCTTAGAAAATCTTATGGGGAGAGAAAACAGGCAGAGATTGAAAAGGAAGTGTTGACAAAAATATGCTCAAGTTTAAGAACCGCCTATGGAAGCACCAGTACCCCTGGACAGACGAAGTAGGAATGTGGCATATGTACTGGTTGGCTGAGGAATTTTAAACAAGCTTGTGAGGCTTCAACATCCTACCAAGAGCGTCTTCGCCTTGCTTTCACCTGAACTACCCTGGGAAACGACTTCAAGAGGCAGTTCCAGTTGAACACATGCTAAGGAAGTTTCAAAATTGGAAACGACTTCAGGAGGCAGTTCCAGCTGTCACAAAATACATGCTAAGGAGGTCTCAAATTGGCGCGAGAAGCACGGGGTGTGGGTCAGTTTCTGATCCCTACACGAGGTCAAGATTGAGTCCGTCGGATGTGCAGGCTGCACTGGACCACTTCGTAAAAGATGAACTGGGGTGCTCGCGGCATAGCCCGAACAAAAAAGATGTTGTGTCCTCTGTCATCGTCGTCGATGGCAAAAGAGAGTATGTCTCAAGAGATTTATGATTCGTTCAGTACGGGAAACATTTCAAATATTTCAAGAAGCTCATTCTCGCAATTCAATTGGTCTGTCAAAGTTCTACACTTTGCACCCAAAATGGGCACTGCACGCCCCTCAGCCAGAAGTCTGCGTCTGCACCTACTGCACCAATGCCAACACCTGTGTTTCTGCACTCGTAAACACAGCGGGTAGAGAGAAACCGATAGAAAGCCATGAAAGCGCTTTGCCTTTGCAGCTCGCCGTCCACAAAATGTTTCTTGGGTCAATGCGAACGCTGCCCATTGGGCGACGGCCTTGCCGTGGATAGTTCGGGAGCGGTCGACGAAGGTGAGGTTACATTTATTTTGTGGAAACGCTGCGACCTAGTAAAAAAGACAGTGTCCCCAACCAGCTTTGTGAAAGAGCTCGGCAAATGGGTGACCAAATGGATTTCTCACGATTACATACACCACACTCAAGCCGCGGCTATACATGAGGCAAAGGAATGGGAACAGTGAGCAAGCATTGTTATGCATTTTGATTTTGCAGAGAATTGGACTGTTTTCCTCCCGACTGAAACACAGTTCTACCATTCTATCTTTACCTGCATCGTCACTACAAAAGAATCAACTAACAGCTTTGCCGTTATTAGCAATGACTTGCATCATGATTCAGCGCACGCCTCTTATGCCCTAGGAAAGGTGCACGAGCTCTTGAGGGAAACATCGCCCGTCTACACGCACGTTACCTACGTTAGCGATGGTGCAGCGAGCACGAGCTGTGCCGTGTCAACTGTTCTAAGCGGCAGGAACAGCCATTTGGCGTGTCAACGCCAAATGGCTGTTCTCCGCCACTGGGCATGGGAAGAGCGCTTCTTACGGTATAGGTCATCAAGCATCACGCATCCCTGCTCAACTTAAGGTCAGGAAACACCAACCTCATCCAGTCAGCACCTGAAGTGCTTGCTCAGCTGACCGACAAGCTGAAGATCGTGTCACCCTCACTGGTTTATGCGCCTGTTGCAGCCGTCGAGCAGTTCCGTCGGCAGAAGACGGACCAGTGGAAACCTTTGCCACGTGTGCCAGGCGTATACAATCGTGGCATGTGTGGATCTGCACGCAAGATGGACAGTGAGGTCAAGTCTTCTCGGTGGCTGGAACTGCTGCAACCGAGCTCGCTACGATTCAACCTTTTTAAATCTGATTATAGCGAATGTGCCATTTTGAAATTAGTTCGAACACGCAAGGCAGCCAGGAAAACCAGCAACAATTTGTTTAACTTGATGTGTGCCCGTTCTAAGCGGCAGGAGCATCGCTAACTTTTGTGGTGTTTCGTGTAAAGACATACTATCAGACTGAACTTGTATGGAGCGACAAGGTAAAAAAAGTAAATTTATTCGAAGAGTGCAGAGACCAGCGGCGGGGAGAAGCGAAAGCGTCGGATTCAAGACGTTTCGTAACAGCCACTTTGACCGGTCAGAACTTTTGTACCAAGCAAATGGTGCAATACATTGCCTGGCCTAAGGAAAGTTGTACCCCAAAGTGATAATTTTTTTTAATATGGGTATTTTTTTGTTGAAAATGTGATGTTTCAAAATACTTTTTTTTATGCTGATATTTTTATCGGAAGTTCATATTTTGCAGGATTTTTTTTAGATTTTCGAACTCGTTAACGCTTTTTTTTTTTGGCCTCAAAATTAGTGTATTTGTTTTACCTGATCTAAAGTTACAATTTTTTTTTTAGCTCATAGAGGACATAATAATTGCATGCGGTTGACAAACTTTGGTGCGTTATAGGAAACGAGAAAATTTTTGGTGTGCTACTCTTTGCTGGCTTCCACAGAACCGCAAAGTTGGGAACTATTGCAGTCCGCAGTGGGAACAGGGCCGACGCGCATTTGTTTTTTTTCTCGTAGTGAAAACTCTTTTTCAATATATAAGGTTGTTTTGTACGATTCATTTGTGTGTAGATCATAGGCGTAGACTTGGGGGGGGGGGGGGCATCGGGGCTCGTACCCCCCCCCCCCCCCCCCCCCCCCCCCCCCCCGTACCCGGGCCATGATCCTTACCGAGACGCTGCTTACGTGCCATGTAACGAGCTTCTAGTAGAGGCATGTAAACAAAATAACGCCCACGTTGCTTTATTAACAAAATACATGGGAAATGGAATCCCAGCGTGCTTTCGTTAGATCCAATCTCCAGTTCTGGCGAAAAGGTAACGCGCAGCAGCAGCAGCAGCAGCACCCCCCCCGGGGAAAATGGAAAGTCTACACCGCTGGTGTACATTACATAAAAAAAAAAAAAGGAAAATAAAAATCTCAAGTGGACGTGCAAAACGAAACGCCTATGTGGAGTCTGGTGAGCTCGCACCTTTACCGTTCATTGAGTCCATCTGCTCCGAAATGACACCTTAGCGGCACCGACGTCACACCTCAGCTGTCGATGTGTTTCACTTTACGAGTTGCGAAAGTGTTCACAATTTTTTTATATAATTTATCTATAAGCACAAAAAAAAAAAAAAAAAAAGCGCCAACGTTTTTTTGCAATGGTGCGATTCCGCTGCGTAATATCGTAAAGACAACGACGCATTGTTTGCCGATCTGCCAATGACGCGTGTGTGCTGATTACGGGTACCACCGTGTTCCGTCATTGGGAGTGCCATAGGGAGTGCACTGAAGTCAACCTCCCTTTGCTGCTACGCTGTCAGCTTTGTGGCTAACCGCCTTTTGTCTCGATCGCACGGAACCCAACAATAAACCAGGTGGCACTCCCAGTGACGTCACTCGAAAGACGGCGTGAGAGTTGAGGGATACTCCAACCTTTTATTTAATGCATAAAAAACAAAGGTTTTATGTTCTTTAATTTTCGCAGTTAATTGATTGGCCAAGTACGAAAATTGTTCCAGTTTCTTTTTTAACTGAAAACAGTGCAAAAACAGACGAAGGATGAGCAGTACATCATGACTTATTCTTGTTCGTAATGACTTATGCCATTGCTGCGGTGGCTCTGCTGCCGATGCGGCGTGCACTTTATTTTGCGCAAATCTTGGTTCTGCGCATGCGTGGTGCCCACACTTGCGGTCGCGTTTGCACATTGCGCTTTGGTTTATAGGGTACGATGATAATGGGAGAGGGAACCTCTATGACTCTCGGAATCTTTGAGCTCGTTTGCAAAAACGTGGTCGAATATTCTCTGCTCCGCGATCTCTCCATGATCAGCATGAAATTTAATTCGGTCTGCATTCTGTGTGGAGCTGTTTGTGGCCGAACGAGCTGTGGTGGGCCTGTTACGGCTCTGGGCACGCGCCGGTTGCTCTTGAGCAATGTTCCACTGCACGTCGACGTTCAAACAGCAAAACCCTCGGGGACATTCCAGGCCCATCCGCCACACAACCTAACACAACATGCATCGCCTTCCGATATGCGCATTTGTTTTCTCTCCTTGCACACCTCTTGCCTCGTCGTTCTTGCTGCTTGGGTAAATTCAGTTGAAGTCTTGCTTGACTGCGAGCTAGATCTTTACCAAGGGTTTCCCCAGAAATTAAAATTAAGGGGGGTCTTAATTTTTAGGGGGGGAGGGGGCATTGAGAATAAAGGAGTCGTGAATTAAGGCTTCAGAAAAACAAGGGGGGGGGCTGTACACCTGTACACCCCCCCCCCCCCCCCCTAGGGGTGTGTAGGCAAATCACTGATCTTTACATCAATAAAGAGGGGATTAACCAGCGTGTGAACCTGATTGTGTGGAATGAAGCAGTCAAGGTTAAAACCTTAAACATACAAAACAACACAATTTTTTTTTTCGGTTGCAGAAAGAAGATAATAGCCGAGGGAGCAAAGGCGTCCGTTGGCGGTGACGGGATGACGCTGTCTGCTCTGGAAAGGGACGGGGACTGTGAGGGGGGCCTTGAAGGGGCCAACGGGGAGGGACCCTCCGGCGTGAAGTGCGCGCGACTCGAGGAGGAGCAGTTTGTGGTCTGCGACTGTGACATCGCGGCGACGGTGAACAAGGTCATCGGCGGCTCTGAGCTCGAGCGGGCCTGGAAGGATGAGATGGCCAAGTTCTCCCGGCGGCTGGGAGTGCTCCAAGATCTGGAACGTGAGTGGTGGCTGCCGTGGCGACGTCTAGAGTCCCGTAGTCAAAGGGACCATGAAACAAATGGTTAACCTTGGCTGGAAATAAGCAATATTTTATTATATTAAATGAAAACAAAATATTACATTAGCTAGTATAAAGGGACCGTGAAGCAAGCAGTGCTATTAGTTTTAATTTGACATAACTTGTACTATTAGCTAAAGGGAGAATGAAGCAAGATCTAACTTTGGTCAACTAGGAGTACTCTTTGGTGATAGGGACCATGAAACAAGTTTTTTTACTTTACCGGCTAGTCGTGTTAATAGATAAAAGGAACCATGAAACCGACTTTCACTTTAGCTAGCAGTGCTATTAGCAAATGAAACTACAAAACAAGTTTTTCACTTTGGCTAATTAGTATTGTTAAAGGGACAATGAAACAACTTTTCACTTTGGCTAACTAGGAGCTAGCGCTTTTAATTAAGGGATCATGAAATAAGTTCTCACTTTGGTTAACTAGTAGTGCTCTCAGTTTTCAGTACTAATAGCTAAAGGGACATTGAAACAAGTTTTTGCTTTCTACTAACTAGTAGTGTTAAGTAATGGGACCACAAAACAAGTTTTTCATTTGTGCTAACTAGTGGTGTTCTCGGTTGAAGGGACCAGGAAATAAGTTTTTCACTTTGGCCAGGTATATAGTGATGCTATTAGTTTTCACTTTAGCTAATTAGTAGTGCTATTAGTTCTGACTAAGGCTGTTAGCTAAAGGGACCATGAGACAAGCTTTACTTAGGCTAACTAGTAGTGCTAATAGCTAAAGGGATAATGAATTACGTTTTTCACTTCGGCTAACTAGTAATGTTTTAAGTTCAAGGGACCATGAAATAAGTTTTTCACTTTGACTAACTGGTAGTGCAATATGTTTCTACTTTGGTTAACTATTGCTATTAGTTCTAATTTTGACTAACATGTGTTATAAGCTAAAGAAACAATGAAACATAACTATGCAGTGCTGACTGCTAAAGGGACCATGCAACAAGTTTTATTTTGTTTTGGCTAGGTAGTTGTGCCTATTAAAGGGACCATGCAACACATTTTGTTTTTGTTTTGGCTAACTAGTAGTGCTTATTAAAGGGACCATGAAACAACCTTTTAATTTTGACTATTAGTTGAAGGGACCATGAAACAAGTTCTTGACTTAGGCTAACCTATAGTGTTAGTAGTTCATGGGAGAATGAAGCAAGCTTTTTATTTAGCTAACTATAGTAAGCTATTAGTTAAAGCAATCATGAGGGAAGTTTTTCACTTAAGTAATGCTTTAGTAATTAAAGGGACCTTGAAACAAGTTTTGATGTGGGCTAATTAGCAGTGCTCAGAATACACTTCATGTTAACAAGTGTAAAACAGGTTTTTGTTCACATACTCTGCTTTTCATAAGTGTTTACAGATGTGAAGTCTTATTTTCCAAGAGGTGCATTTATGAGGCCTGCATGCATTTTGTCTCCAACCGCCCCGCCCCCCCCCCCCCCCCCCCCCCCCCCCCCGCCCCCCCGACTAAACGGCTCGCTTCTTCGAAACAGATTGGGAAGGAATTCTCTTGGAATTCCTACCATAGTTGAGACTGTCATATGTTGAACACAGGGGGCCCTAGAAGTACCAAAACGAGATAATCGCATGCAGGAGAAAAGATGTGATTTGGTTTCCGCCACCCATTTCTGTTCTGCAGCCTCCTTAGAAAATATACCTGACAGTGCTTCCCTCACCTAATATGTGTAATGGATTTCGGAAATGAAATCTTTTCTGCCGTTTTGATAGTGATGACAGGGGTTAAACTCTGCAAAAATGCAGGGGTAGACGAAATGTTTGTGATGGCAGCATTCATAATGGCTTCTTTACATTACTTGTGAAGCAGGGATGTATAATATGTGTTTCTGGCTTCGCACGACATTGGTTTTGATTTTCTTACTTCAGAACTCCGCCCTCACTTTGCCGTCTGATGACTCGGTAGTGTTTAATTTTTCTGCATATGCCATCAACTGGTCCTGGTTTCTTAAAAGAACACTGCACCCAGGGGTGGATCCAGAGGAGCCCTCAAGGGGAGACCCAGGATAAAAAAAAAAAGAAGAGGGGGGGGGTGCAGAGAGGGAACATTTGCTGCACACCTCATTGCATGTTGGATCTTTGTTCAAACACACATATAAATAATAGAGAGAGGCCTTTCCTTCTCAGCGTATCGCAATTCAAGACATGATTGTGATGTCTCCCGCTTCGAAGTGGGGGATAACAGAATCTTGATTAACTCTGTGCCCACTTTGCATGACCTAGGGCTATATGGCTTAGTGTTTTCGGTAAATTCCGATAAACCACAAGAAATGAACCCCCAAGTCGGTTTTATCAAAATCGGTCCTTGAATAAGAAAATCCCAACCTTTGCAGGAATAAAATCTGCGTGTACAGTTTTATTGGCACAAAATACTGCCTCCAATGAACTGTCTGCGAGGCTGGTTTTTGCTCAGGATCCCAACATCTCGTTTCTTTTCCTTGTCGGTATGGAGATGTCTCTAGATTAGTTTGGTCACGTGAATGTTCTGCGGAGGTTCGCATGCCCCATTTTCTACAACATAATCTTCAATAAACCCTGTTTTTTCGTTACACACCGAAAGTTATCACCGAAGTACACGAAATCTGCTGGAAAAAATAAACCCCGAAAAAGCATCCACAAACTCCCAAGAAAAATGAACCCTGAAAACTTGAGACCCTACCAAACCTATGAGCTAGGCAGTACCAACGCTTGGAGACACGCTCGAAGCAATGAAAGCTCTGGCCTAGCTAAAAGCCGCTCTGGAGGAGGCTGACACACGGAAAGTCAGAATTTATCAGGACTTAAGTTGAAGAAGAAAGGGCATAGGATTCCCTTACCTCCAATGGAGCAGGCACATGAATCTCCCACCAGTAAGAGAAAGAAAGGCAATAAGGAGTCCAAAGGAAGAAGCAGGCCTCACGGACAGTTCAGTGCGGGCGGTGTTCCTGTTCAAAACAAAATAAAGCTGTATACAGGTTTTCTTCCCATGAATCTTGGGTTTGTAATGCTTAAGGGCAGCTCCAATTTGGGTTTTTCACATTTTCTTTGATTTTGATCAAACCAGTTTAGAGGTTAATTTTCGGGTTGTTTAGTATTTACCGAAAAGACGGAACCCTACTCATGTGCGACAGAACCTCTGATTACTGGCATCGAGTTCAATTAGAAACATCTCTTTCAGATCCTCATAATAAATTTCAGATTTTGAGATCACCACAGGAAATTTGTGCATCGGCTATTATGTGACGAAACACTTGCCAAAAATCTCTACACCAGAATGCGAGGTACAATAAGGCCTACACAATAAGTTCGATTATTTTATCAAATTATGTCCCGACTACACTTTTACCCCGACTCGGTTGTTTTAACATATAACCAGAAAAACAAGCACTAAATAAGTTAAAGGCAAAAAGGCAATATAAAAAGGCATACAAATTTTGCTGCGGTGCATGTGATGCATCCGATCAGGTCGAAACTGGCAAGCAAGACTTGGTCGGTTCAGACACCATACAGAAACAAACTCGAATGAAAAATCCCAGGAATCAAATTCAATTGCTTGTCGCCATTCAGTGTGAATAGGTGGTAGGCTTGGCCACACTGAATGGAATGGCAACAAAAGGTTTTCGAAGTTGGTAATTCGTACGTAGCCTTTCCCATTCAGGAGTGCTAATGGTAGCTCGAAGGCAGCTCTCCTGGACAGGGTACTCGAAGGAAAGTAATGACCCTCAAAGACCAACCACCCTGACGCCCGCGAAAGGTTTTAACTTCCTTCTGTTCAAGGATGGCGACATTTAGCCCTTTCAGGTTGGCCGAAGCCCTCCCGGGGACCACGTTTAAGGTTGCTACTGTCCCATTGTCACATAAAAACAGCCTCAAGTGTGTAAGTTCGACCCGCCATAGATTATGCTAGCATAGTATGTATGGGATCCCTACACTAAGACAGATATAGGACATCTCGACAAGATACAAAACTTAGCACTGAGATTTATTGACAGACGGTTTAATAGACTCGGTTCTCCGACAGACACGCTACCACTGTCCAACCTTCATACTCTTACTCAACAACAAATAGCTCGGTTAAAATTTCTTTGCTCCCTCTATTTCCCTAGACTGGGCATTCAACCACAAAGTTATATCTCACTATTTGGCACATGTTCGACAAGGCATTCTAATTCACTCACCTTAACCCCTATATTTGCAAGAACTAATCGGTACAAGAATTCTATTTCCCCTAGAACCATCAAAAATTAGAATAAAGTACCGAACGAGTCTTTCGAAACTGAGAACTTTTCTTTCAAGTCTTACAAACTAGCACTGTCATCACATTACACCCTATTTGCTCTTGACGCTTTTGTTCATTTTATTTTTCCACTGTTTAATGTTTTTCATGCTACCCCCCCCCCTCTATTTGGCCCCAACTGCACTTTTTTGTTGTTTAAGTTTGCATTTGTATAATCCCGGTTACAGAGTGTTGTTTATGTTGTACGATAAATTGTATTAGACAGACTTATATATGTATGTGTTGTGTTCCTGTGTTTTGCTGTGTGTAGTGTTGTATTGTATTTATTATGATTGCTATTTCTCCTGCTTGGGCCCGTGTGGGGCTGTAGTATTCGTAAATAAATAAGTAGAAAAGGCGAAGTATACGTCATTCTTTAACTGAAAGTGACAAGCCTAGGACCAAATGCAGTCTTTAGGTTGCTTGTCTGCTTGCATGTGCTGACCTGAGAAATTTCCTGTATTGTTTCCTCTTCCAGGGGAATTCTTAGAAATCGACATTGGTTTCGACAAGATGGAAAGAGATCTTGAAAAACTCAAGGCGAAGAAGAGGTAAGACCAGTTGTCGTTCAGTGTGCACTCTATTATTATATAAGTGCTCATTACCCTTTGCAGAACCATGCAGCTCCTTAAAAAGCGACTCTGGGGCCTTTTTCTGCACTTTGCTTTACACCTTCCTTTAGTTGGACAGGTGAAGGCGCAAGTCTCAACGCAGCATTTACAGCGGAATGATTGAAAATTAACCACATGCTTGCACTCTAAGGGTCCTTTTCACTGCTCCGAAATGTACTTTTGGTTGCCCTCAAAGGTGCAGCAGGAATCACTCGGACCAATCTCATTGCTGCGACAAACCATTCGATGGAAGCTTAGTAATGTCGCTTCTGACAAGTGCAAGTAGCTACTACCGAGTTTCATTGTTGCAAATCACCTTTTTTGTATGTTGTACTTTGCAGCAAGGATGAGGCAGATGCGTTGATTATCCCGGAGGTCCACTTCTTTGATGTCTTCATCAATGGTAGGCCTTTCTTCCAGTCATACGTCTCACGAGTTCTTTCTCATCCCTGTTTGCCAAACAATGCATGCCAATGCTGTCTTGATACGAGAGGCTGTAGCTGAGTACCTTTCAGTTGTGAAAGGTTTCCTGTTGCTTTTCCCTCAATGCACAAGCTCACACCCTTCGACGCTTTAACATAATCAAGCAGACCGAGTGTAATGCTGTAATCGCCGACAGAATGAAGACGGCAGGACGTTATTTGGATCGAAAGGAAAAACAAAAATCCTCTACGAGCTGACGTCCACCTATAAGCCTAATCTTTATTGTACCGACATTTGAGATTGTGGGCGTCTGTAGCATTTATTGCGGTGAAAGAAATTGTCAGTTAGAAAGACAATATTGTTTTCTTTCTCGCCGACTTAATTTTTCACCGACATAATTGCTACAAGTGCCCAACCAAGGGACGCGAATATCCTGTGATTTGCACTTTTAGTGTGTGTTTGTGGATTGAGCCTTTGTTTGTGCTCTGACCTAAGATGAAATAAACTATACTGCAAGTAGAAACGCTGTGAAGTACATATTTGTACCATTTTGCTTTCCTTCCACTTCTCTAAATATTAGGCTTGACCAACAATAAAATATTTTTAATTTTTGCTTTGCTTAAGCTTGTCTCGTCGCAGGTGTGGCGCAATTACCAAAAATGGCTCTTTGGCGCAAGATATAACAGACTTGTTCAAATGGCGCAGTTTGGTGCAGCACTTCCATCATTGCCGTCCTGCTGTAGTAGTTTCTTGAAGGTCATGCAAACTTCTCACTCGCCCGATTTTCTACTTCTCTGGTCTTTCGACAAATGTGATCTTTTCAGGCTTGTTTTCAGGTCACTTATCTGCTTGTTTGCAGAAATATATAGTGTGTGGTCACCCTGCCGTTAATGTTCTGTGCAGATTCACGCTTCAAGATGCCAGGGTCGCCAAACAGGGCTCTGCAGTCCACAGTGGTAAGTGCGGCCAACCTGAAGTTGTGAAACCGCCTCCCAGTTTTTTTTATGGTAATCCTGCAATTGAACACAATGCTTCTTGTTTTTTTCTTCTTCATATATTTCTTTATTACTTGCAAGCTGCTTTGACTTATATTGTAAAATGTGATATGCTTGCGAACTGCAATAGTGGAAGCTAAAGACTGTTTTATGGTGAAAGTTGTGCAGGATATCTGCTAGCTTGGAGGTATGACTTCGGTTATTAACATCTTTCACCAAGATTAGAAAGAAACAAGAAGATATCTTACGCGAGGCTAGCTCTCTGGCATATCTTGAGAACAGTGGAAACAGAAAACAGAAATAATAATAAAAGAAATTATCTGAAACAAAATCTATTTGATATAAATCAATGTAATTTTATTTAAATCACTGTAGCTAAGAAAAGTGATCTTTTATCACCAGATGTATTTTAAACATGTACATTGATAGATCAGTCTGTGCAATCACTGAAATTTATGTGAAAGAAAGAAATACTGGAAATTTAAACTAGTTTAGCAACTTTTCATTGATGTAAACCCTTCCATACTAGAAAAGCAGCTTGGTTTTTTTAGTTGGTGAAAAAGCTTTATGTGCTTTCTCTTTTGTTTTCCGATTTGCTTACAATAGGACACGACGTAATTGACGAATAAAGGGCGGGGCAAGCAGAAAGTTAGCTCAACGCTCTGATTTGCCTAGTAGAGTCTTGTAGCTGCGTCAGCCAGACGTCTGTTGATCTGCACTCAAAGGAAATCGAGTTTCTTAGATAGCATCCTCGATCATCTGCACCGGTCTGCACCAGGGCACAGAAGTGTGTGCCCCGTCGTCTTCGATCAAGTGCACCAGTGTGCACCGGACGTCCTCGATCAACAGAGTGCACCCTCCCGGTGCGGTTTTTTGTTGCCCCAACGTGCACCAACAAAATCGACAATGTGCCAGGGTGCATTCTCATCATGCATTGAGGCCAGGAGCGGGAATTACGGAGGTGGCGGAAATAGCAGATGCACGTCCCGCAATTGATCGAGTTAACGATCTTGCAAAAACGAACACGCGTCGCGGCGGCACTCAATGAATTCCCCAGCTCTTCTGACAGTGAAAATGATGAGCTTCTTACCATTGCCGCGATTACTGATGATTGCTGCAGTGGCAAGGAGCGCCCGAAAGTGATGGGCTTTGTCGAAAGCATTGTGAGGCGTTTCGATGACACCGAGGTATGGCTATGATCTGGTGGTACTCTTTCTTGAACCAACAATGATGGGCAAAATATACTCGTGGAATTGTCACCCGCTTCGTGACCCCATCGACAATCACGTCCACGATGTTCATTTGGGTGGGACAGCTAAATCCGCGAGTCTAAAGCCGGAAGAAATTGACAGCAAATGGGCACTGCCCACGAATGTACGCAAGGAAAAAAAACACCTAACAAAACGCAAGGCGACGCATGGTGGCGCTTGCTGCGGTGCAGTTTGTCCTCGATGTTGCGCCGACTTCACGCTGCATGACCAAGGAGCGCTGTGCACTGTTCTGGTTTCAGCTTAATTACAAAAGCGCAAAGGACAAGGACAGAACAAAGAATGAACAGGACAAGCGCTTACTAACAACTCATTGTTTAATGCATAAGAGAAAGACAAAAATGAGAAAATATTTCCCGGAATCACCCTGGTTTCAGGGTGATTCCGGTGCAAGTTAATCGAAGATGCCATCATTTTTCAGCGACTGTAGGGTCCTGTGCTCCTCCTGCGTCTTTTAGGTTGTCATTCCCGCGTGCCGTCTTGGGGACTTTATCTTATTGTTTTTAAGCGTTTTTTTTTTCTTATAATTTTAGTGGTGGTTGCTGTGCCTGGTTTTCTTATGTGTTTTTCAATAAACTTTTAGTTGTCAGTCAGCGCTAGTCCCGTCCACTCCTACTCATCTTTGTGTTTTTTGCGCCTTTTTTCTCGGTTTAGTCATAAACCAACTCGCCTTCATCGCCACCTTATAGGGCAACTCCGCTCAATTTAAAAAGTTTTGAGATAGTGGCCGATTTTGCTTTTTGAAGCACTCAAAAACAATCTCCAATCCTTTGTTTCGCAAAAAATAAAATATTTTTCGTGCAATTTCATTTTAGCCATGATCGCAAACCGAAACCGAAACGGTGGCAAAGCCGGACAACATTGTATCTTCGGCATCACTAAGCATGTACACCCACGTGATCTATTACGGGGACATGCGCTTCGCAGTCATCGTCGCGTCGTCTGCAAAGCACGTGTCGTCACTCGTCAATACGCATTGGACACACACTGCGCTCAACAAGGCGATGGGCATATCAGTGGGGTATTAATAGTCGAGCGCCGAGCCGGCCGAGCGCGTCGCTCACGTCTCTCACGGCGCTAACGCCACCCATGCTCTCCCCAAGAAAAAAAAAAAAAAAAAATGTGCATGCTTGATGATGTCACGGATGTGCCGGGAGAGGGAATTTGGAGGAAGCGGAAATGCAGCCGGGCAGTGTTGTCTGGTCCGCACGTCTCATCTAAAATCAGCGGATTCCTGCTTGTCAAACTTTGACAGCGATTTTAATGAACTTCTAGGCGGAATTCCGTCGTAATATTTGCCATGTGGGCTTTGTAGATGATAACAAAAAGAACTGTATAGTTTTGCACTACTGGAAAATAAGCGGAGTTGCCCTTTAATAGAGTCCCGTTTTTTTTAAAATATTTTTTGCTTGATTTTTTTTTTACTATAAATACAAAACAAATGCATATAGAAAGTGTCAAGTGATAGACAAAATGTAAATGAAAAGTATTGAATGGATTTTTTTTTTTTTGAGGGAAACATTTCATTCAAATCATTATTGTGAAATCGGTGCAATTTAAATTATGACTTAAATAACGATCTAAGTCATTTTTATTTTTATTCTTCACAATTCTTGTGATAAGCTTCATGCTCGCACGCACATATATATATATATATATATATATATATATATATATATATATATATATATTTAGTTTCACACGGAATATAATTGTTTCCTAGAGCCACGAAATACGTGCATGCTTCATTTCTCTTGTGTGTCTTTCCCCTCAGGTAAGGACAAGTCCTGCTCAGAAGGGCAGTCCTCGACCTGCCCAGAAAAGTTCCGACGACATCATTCCAGTGGGGAAATTCACCCCGAAAGTCCCCAACCTTCCCCCAGAGGGCCCCATAGTGCGCAAGTGAGTTTCCCAAACCAACATATGCAAAATTAATGCACATTCAAAGAATAACTCTCATTGTCCTTATAAAAAACTTTTGAAAGGCTCTGAACGTTCCACAGTGGCAGTTGACAGATGACAAACCAATAGAAGCTTTTGAAATAGCAAATGACTTACCTCACTATTTGTTCAGCCTTCCCCTCTATATTATCCATCAATCAATCAGTACTTTATTACACATCAAGAGTTTGATATAGGCTGTAGGGGCAAAAAGTAAAAAAAGATTTGAATTGACATTTTAAGTGCTAATATATTACAGTTAATAGGCTAGTAAAGATTACAAAATACAATAGACACATGAGAGCCAGTGTAAAGATAATATATGTTTTGCAAAAGGAAATACTCAGAACACTCAATCCCACAAGGCATGCAAAATTTTAATTTAGAAAGAAATGTCTAATTGTACCGAGATCCAGTCTTCCAATATTTGTCAAATGATTCTTCCAAAGTTTATTTAGGACAAGTGTAAGATTATGCTTTAGCGTTTAGGACCCGTAATTGGTACGATTTAACGGCATTTTCCAACGCTCCCCTTCACGAACGTTGTATATCCTGAAATTATTAATTACATGTCCAGTACTGTGCAAGGTGAATAACAAGGTTGATAAAAAGGAAGCCAGCTGCAAGAAGCAGGAGTCTCAGCTTCTTCACATTTTTACGAAAGTATCTAGTTACAATTACATACTGTAATCGCACGCCGATGGTTAATTTTATTATGCAGGAGACAGTGGCAATAATTTGGTTTCCATTAAACTGTCTGTATGACTGCCGTGTTTCAGTATCACTGACAGAATGAGTATGGCAGGACGTTACCTGGATCGAAAGGAGAAATCAAAATGCTCTATGAGCCGATGTTTACCTACCTATAAGCCTAATTTTTATCGTACCGACATTCGAGATTGTGGGCGAGTGTAGCATTTATTTCAGTGAAAGAACTCGTCAGTTAGAACGACAATATTGTTTTTACAGCGAAGCTGTTATGTGCTAGGGTCTGGAAAAAAATGTGTCCATGGATATTAACAAAAAACTACAGTTTAAACGGTGCTCCTTTGTTCCAATTGGTCGTGGCAAGCACAAATAAAAAGAGAGGGCAACCCGCGTGAGTCGGCCTTCCTTGGCATTATTAGATAGTCAGGCCCTGGTTCTTTGTTGTCATCTACGGTCACCGACTTATCTCAGCTAAGAGTGCGCTGTGACGAGGCCGAGAACAGAATGTGCCGATCTAACCTTCTTTTCTTTTGCTTCCGCGATGCTGATAAAGAGATTTGGGATCAATCTGAAAAGCTGTCCTCAAGATGTGCCTAAAAGAATTGGGTTTAGAACTTACGTCATGTATTGAAAGAGCTCATCGCCTTTATGTATGTATGTCTCTTTATTTAATCGATATAGCAATTTGCTGTAAAGTCGCTGTAAAACCTCAAATAGCTACCAACCAATGGCTGTGTTTTTTTGTCTCTTGACATAGCCATTTCCTAGCGACGTTATCGCTTGCCTTTTGGACTCGCCACGTGTAAGCCGCGTGCTGTTCGCTCTGAAGAGGAAGAGCGCGCCTACAAAAGTCGTCAGCGCTCTCGACAGTGCGAACGTGTGCGAAAGTGTTGAGAGGCCGAACATGCAGCGGCCCAACGTGGTGCGGCCGATGGTGTGAGTCCATAGGCTTCGATTAATCCTCCACTCACCGACGAAGAACGTGCCCGTCTAGAGTGTCAGCGGCAACAGAAGCGGGAAGGTGAATGTCGTCGCCGAGTGAAAATGACCGACGAAAATCGGGCCGCCGATGCCGATTGGAAACACATTGCTTGTCAGGATCCTCAGTATCGGGAGGCCGAAAACGCTCGTTGGCGGCTTTCATGCAACCCGGACGAGCACAGTTTTTGTAAAGATAACAGCTTTGCTGGTTTTCTATCTTCATGTGAAGTGGATGGGCTCTACAATTTTCTTTCTTGCTGGCATGTTTTTTCACTGACATAATTACTACAGGTGCACTCAAACACTACAGTGTTGATGTTGAGAGTGAATCACTGAATCTTTGCAGATGCCAATGTTACTTTGGTAAGTAACCGAACAACCCTTGGTTACAAGTTACTGCAAGGTTTTAACCTTGTTCCATTTAGATTGGCTGAAATTTCATTGTAACATAGAAAGTAGTTAGAGTGTGAGTAATGATACCAACTTACACACTTTCATTGAGCCACACACAGCTCTGAAAACATGCGACGACGACTCATACGCATTGATTTGCAGGGAGCTGGACATCTCGTCAAGGGTCCTTGCCACACGAAACTTCCCGCTGGGAGTCTTCTTCAAGGCCCGCATCACCGAAGTGCGACCCGCGGAGGAAACTGACGACGGCGAACCAATGTACCACATCAAGTTTGAAGCCCGCAAGCCCAACGCGGGCATGCGCCAGTCGAAGTGGTTCTCGCCGCGCGAGCTCGCCTATGCCGACCGGCCTCCAGTGGTGCTCCCCATCGGAACCCGTGTCGTCGCAACATACACCGACGAGTCCTGGAACCAGCGGCAGTCGCTCTACGCAGGACTCATCGCGGAACCGCCTAAGCCACTTAACCGGTACCGCTACCTGGTGTTCTTCGACGACGGCTACGCGCAGTACGTGCACATCGACAAGGTGTTTGTGATGTGCGGCACCTCTAAGACGGGCGTGTGGGACGACATGTACCGCGACGTGCGGGACTTTGTCAAGACCTACCTGCAGAAGTACCCCGAGCGCCCAATGCTTCGGATGCGTAAGGGCCAGACGGTCAAGACGGAGTGGAACGGCAAGTGGTGGATGGCCCGGGTGCTCACTGTTGACGCGAGCCTGGCAAAGATGGCGTTCGAGGCGGATGACCGAACGGAGTGGATCTATCGCGGGTCAACGCGGTTTGCACCGCTGTACACCGCGCTCAGCCACACCGCGCAGCAGAGCGCTGCGCCGGGCGGGAGGGTGCGGCGACAAAACCTGGTTCCGGCGACCGGGAAACAGCACCGGCCGTTCGTCGAGTACACACGGGAAGCGGACGAGAGCTCGTCCGCGGCGACGGCGACAAAGGGGGATGAGACGAAGAAGGCAGCCGCTGCAATTACGGCGAGCGACAAGCGCAATGCTGCGCGCAAGTCTGCAGCGCAGGATCGCAAGTCTGTGCCCTGGGAAGAGCCGGAGGTGGCGGCGTCGCAGGCTGGGACGCGGGAGCTGCGGTGCGTCGAGGGGTCTTCAACGTACCGACGGAAGATTTACCTGGAGCACGAGTGTTCGCCCACCTGTGTGGAGCCCGAGGATCCGGAGAAGCTGGTGGGGCACAACCCGCTCAGCATACCCTGCCTCATGGGCTGGGAGAGGTGGGTGCCCGGCACTGTCTGTTGCTCTTGCACATCTGAGATGGCGTTATCATGTAATGCGGAGCGCAAATTCGTCTGCTTGTTTTGCAAGGGTTGTGGGGACGTCGGAACGCTGAGCTCCGATTGGTTGTAATCGAGGGATAGGGAGTAGACCTCAAAGCAAGCTGCCTCGAGGTCTACCCACTTTTGTTCAATCAAAGCTTATCGGAGCTCGGCGTTCTGACGTCACCGCAACCCCTGTAGAAGAAGTTGACAAACTTGCGCTCTGCATTGTCTTGGTTTGGCTTTTTGCGTAAAAGTACCAGGTACTCCGTTTGACCAGAGCATTGTGTCCCTTTCTGACGTAGAACTATGTCTTTCTCCACGCTTGGAAGGGGGTGCAAAGTTGGGAGGTCAATGTCACAATAACTTGGTCACGGAAGTGACGTCGCACAGATAACACGGCGCTCCGCCTGTTGCCGAGAACCGCACAGTGCACGCGCGCATCCTCTCTTATCCGCTGGCTCATTGCTTGCTTCAACGCGACGCTCTTTGGTCCGATTGAAATGGCGATAGACGCTGGTGCAGCAGCTATGATTCCAGTCTTCGCTCATCACTCTGGACCACGGTGCTCTGAACAGCGGCCGAGCAACCGAGCTCGTGTTCTCTGCGCCATGGGCAGGTCATGCGACTCTCTCGCACGACTCGGCTATGCGTTAAAAATAACCCCACGCAATTCTGCATGTGCGACTCGGAGATGGTGGCGCGGGGGGCTGCACATTTGCCTGTGTCGGGCTCCAAGCCACGGGCATTTGCTTCTTGTGCACCCGACATTAGTGATGGGACGAATCTTTATCCAAATCGAGATTCGCATCCGAATCTGAGGATTCGGAAGAGTAGCCGAATCTCAAGCGATTCGGAAAAGTTTTTAAAGATTCGGAGCGTTGCCATGGTTGCCAGATCACGTTGATGAGTGTTTAAACTTTTCATATTAGATTCAATAAATTTTACAAAGTGCACAAAATAATATTGTAATATAATATAATAGTAATTGATAAGATGTTCCACTTTGTTTATAATATTTTGGGTGTTTGTCGAGAACGGTAGCCAGACATTGCGGGAAAATTGGTTTCGGTTCCGGATTACGACCAAAATAGGCATGCTTGGTTGTGTGGAAATACAAGCGCATGTTTTCATCGCCGCAAGAGATCTATGCTGTACGTGCTGTTCGGTACAGACCCATTTTGTGCCCATAATTATGGTCATAGTGGCACACACCACACAAGTGAGTATGTTCAATTCAATTATCTTTAATGTGTGCCCACTGAAGAGGTATTGTTATCGGAAGACGGGAAACAATCTGAAACTCCTTGCGCCGTACTATTAGTCTTCTGTACTGCATTTGTACCTTTTTGGTTAATGATATCAGATTTAGTTAGTGTTTGTTTCCGAAAAATGAAGTTGCATTGGACACCCCTGTGTTGTGCTTCTTTTTCATCAAATAAATTTCACGTATACAAAACTTGCTGCCGAGAACGGAGAAACGACAGTGCAAAGTTTTTTTACGCCACCGGTGCCAGTACGCCGTCAAAGTTGTGATGAGCAACATTCATCTCGCTCTCGCGCCTTACGTACAGACATACGCAGCTCTAGAGAATGAGACGAAACATTTCCTTGCCTGAATATATTTATTGTGCGTTGCGCCACATTATGTATAATACATAGCATTTCGCTACATTTTACCGATCACCGCAAAACCGAGACCATGCATTGGTTAGGCCTACGTCAACCACGCCGATCAGCTCAGCTGGACCTGGCCGCGTGTCAGGGTTTAGAATGACAGTACAGTACGTACCGTACGTTGAAATAAAGAAGACGAAATCTGGTTATATGCAGTAACAGTACCTAAAATAAAAAAAGCACCACTGACTGCATTCATGAGGTTTACGACAAGGTTCACGCTGTCGTCTGCAACCAGCGACGAATCTCCGAATATTCGTCGCGGGAAGTTCGGAAATGTCCGAATCTGTCCGAATCCGAATCTCCGGTGATTCGTCCCATCACTACCCGACATCATTGTGTGGCAGGCGCCCATGGACGTTTGTTCAGCTGTGGTCGTAGTTCTACAAAAATGTCTGCGGCATAGTAAACCGATACACTGACCAATTTTTCTTCTTTGCTTCTTGGTAGGAGTTTTAGTGCTTGCTGGTAGTTTTTGCGTGCTGAACCTAGCCTAATGCAGCTGATAGCCTTACTCAAAATACGACTGCTTATTTATGTTTCTAAAATAAACCCCTCTTTGTTAAAAACTGAGGATATTGGTTCATAGTTTACGTTAGAGCACTGCACGGGCCCGGGCCAGCCCGAAAACCCGAGCCCGGCCCGGCCCGCGGGCCGGGCTCGGGCCGGGTATCACGCATTTTCTCGGGCCCGGGCCGGGCTCGGGCTTGAAAAAAATATTTTCCGGGCCGTGTCGGCCCGGGCCGGCCCGGGCCGTGGCTGGGCAGTCGTGTGCCACAAATTTTAAATTGTTGATAAGAAAAAAGCTGCTCATTGATCTTCTCGGTTCAATGAAAACAAACAAGCGAAATGCAAAATTACTAAACTGCTGTTAAAAAAAAAAGACGTTTTGCACTTGGAAAGCTTTTACGTGGATAAAAGGAAACGTATGGATTCCTCCACCATAGTGGGAAAGTACGGTCAAGAAACCGACGGCACTCCAGTCGCAGGGTACAACATGAGTGTATTTTTTCTCTGCGTTTCAAACTGAACACAAGAAGAACAACGTGAGCTTGATTTTGCTTTTACGCAGGGAGCCTTACTATGCCGCCGAAGATAAGCTAACTAGATATTTTTATGCTTATACAGCTTTTTGAGTATGCATTAGCGTGATTCTGATTATTTCTTCACAAAAACATGTAGAGAGAAAAGTTCTCTGAAACGTATCGAACAACGAAAAGCCCGATATCTGTTCAAGAAATGCATAAACAAAGAATACGGCACTTTTTTTTCTTTAAATCACTTATACACTGCATATTTCGCCAATATTTTCGAAAATACACCAAGTCGGGATTTTTATTGTGTCAAACAATCTCGATCCAAGTCCAAAAGAAATTTAAATCAAATATGCTCGCTTTATGCTTAGACAGTCTTTAGGTTAAAGCCTGCAAACGTTTTTGGGCTCATGAATATAAACTGTCGGGCTCGGGCCGGACTCAGGCTTATATTTAAAACATTTTTATCGGGCTCGGGCCGGGCTCGAACTTCTGTCTAAAAATTCTGCCGGGCCCGGGCCGGGCTCGGGCTATGTCTCTTCCGGGCCGGGTCGGGCCGGGCCTAGAAATTATATATTCTGTCGGGCTCGGGCCGGGCCCGGGCCGTGCCTCTGCCGGGCGGGGTCGGGCCGGGCCTAGAAATTCCGGCCCGTGCAGGGCTCTAGTTTACGTTCGCAAAGGTGGTGCATTTGTATTGTGTGAATACTTCGCATAATTGGGGCGTAATCTTGACTTTTCTTGGCACGATGGAAGACGAATGCACCGAGGTAGAACAAACACGACCCTATAGGGCATTTGCTTCTGCCTGTTGCCACGCCAACCCTTGGCAAAATGCAATCTACCGAAAGTATGCCAGTTTTTGTATTTTTATATGACAACAAAGTACACTTCAAAAGTGTAGCTTTAGTGTACTCAAACCAAATCAAATTGGACGTTTTTAGTTATTTATACAGCGTAAGGTCGGTCTGCCAGTAGGGGCGACACTAGTTTACACTGTAGATGACCGATTTCGCCAGTGCAGTATGACTGCTAACCTGGGGTCTTTAACGTGCTCACGCAGTAGTGATACATGACCGCATGCCAGTACAATGCTCATCCAGATCGAAACAGGCAGGGGTGGGGCTTGCACCCAGGATCCCTGGGTTCTGCAGTGCGAGCTTTTGCTCCACGCGCGTTGAGCTGGGTGTGTGCTTTACTAAAACTAAAACGTTACTAGAACACTCATTTGGGAAACTCACCCTTGAAACTTGGACTGCTCGCTTCTACCGCGACCAAGCTAAATATGATAACACCGTTGACGTTTAGCAACGAGTTAAAACATGAAAGTTGATTTATATGGCTACAGCGAAATGGCACTGCGAGATGGCGCGACCAGCCCTTGTGCGACTCGACCTAAACCAAGATGTGCTGCCATGCAGCTCCTGGTGTGGCCGTTGGGGGAGAAATGGCGGAGTTGCGATCACCTTTAGTTCGGTTCTCGAGTATGGATCGGAGCCACGTTTTCAAAGCATTCTCTATGACAGTTCCTCAACTGAGCTGTTCTAGTAACGTTGGCTTTAATGTACTTTTAGTGTATTTTGCGTTTTTCTGGCAGTACAGGGTGTGCATCAACCCAGTCTGGCAGCTAAGGTTTACACAAAAACTACCTTCTTAATATGCTTTTATTAAACTGAAAATTTACTTCAGGTATATGTTTAGTTTAATAAGAATAAAATCATCGCCGTGCTACAGGCCGTGTGATGCGATGTAATGGTGGGCCTTGCCACACAGACAACTGGCCAAACTGAGCAAGAAGACCAAGCGGAGAGTGTTCTACACGGCACCGTGCGGTCGCCGGCTCCGGAACATTGCAGAGGTGGCGCAGTACCTCGTGCTGTCGAAGTGCCTGCTCACCGTGGACCAGTTCTGCTTCGACAGTGCTGTGAATGTCTTCGCTCACTTTGAGCCCCAGACCGTCCTCAGCTCCCTCAAGGACTTGACATACGGCAAGGAACTCGTGAGTCGCATTTCCCGTTTTGTTGCGAAGAATCGCAAAATAATCGCATCAAAGTGTTTAAAGTCACGAGCGTATCCGCTCGTATAAAAACGGCAAATTATGAGCGTCAAAGAGCCTCATTTGGAGAGTGGGAGAAACTTTGTGTGTGCGTTTCTCGGCTTCCTCGGTCTGCAGTTTGCAAGTCGTTCCATGCCCAATTCGAATAGTTTCCACCAAGTCAGCATCCCTTTGAGTTTCTTTGGCGGCTCGACGCTTTGGGACCACTTTCAACCAAGGCCGCAACTCTTCCGAGAACACTCTTCAGCTTGCCTCTTACGACCGCGTAATACTGAGGGCCGAGGAATCGACGCGGGGCTTTTGTTTTCCCTCCGTGTCCCCCGCAGGTTCCCGTGACGTGCATCAACAGCCTCAGCACGGAGTACCCCTCGTACATCGAGTACTCCGCGACCCGGTATCCGGGGAAAGGGGTGACGCTGAACCTGGACAAAGAGTTCCTCTGTGGTTGCGACTGCGAGGATGACTGTCAGGTGTGTTGAGTGATCAATCCAGCAGCGAGAACTTGTTGAACAGTGAGAACCAATTCACCGAGGAGAACCTGTTCAGCAGCGAGGACCAATTTAGCCATGAGAGCCAGCTAAGCAGCTAAAACCGATTCAACAGCAAGAACGAATTAAAGGGCAACTCCGCTTCATTTTTGATATTTAGAGAACTATATAGCCCTCTTCAGTGTCATATCGGAAGACCCCATGTCAAATATTACAATCTAATTCTGCCTATATATTTATTAAACTGGCCGGCAAACCTTCAAGCGAGCCAAGTCGCCGAAATCTGCCAACTCTAGCGTGCGACGTGAGGCGCAATCGTCAGCGCAGTCAATGTGACGGGGTTGGAGTGGCCAACATTGAGCCACTACGTCAGAGGCATGACTACGTCATTCTTACGTTTTGTTTGCCAGAGCGAAATTGAACGATGACGTCACGAGTTTCTCCTCCCGGTGTTGGCTGACCGGGCGTTCCCGTGGTCACCGCAACGCGGATGCGCTAATTTGCCGGGAGGGGGGCATGGCATTGAGGCAGGGAGGAGAGCTGTGCTACTGCTGACTTCCATTGTGAAAATATACAGTTTTCTAGAACTCTTTGTTGAAAACAAAGTATAATTTCTTCCACATTTTTAAACAATGGGGAAGAAATGTTGCCAATGAAAGTGCGCCAAATTCAGTAAGACAAAGAGAGTCCCCGTAAGCACCATTACGCATACAATGTTTGTATCGCCCAACGTAACTGAAGGAAAAGCCAGAAATGTTTACTATGTGGGAGGTCACGTCTTCATTGTACGCTCATGTTTACAAAATATGTCTGTATCGAGTAAACTTTCTTTTACTTTTCTTCCACTTGCTCTGTACCAATTTCTCGACTGTTCTGCACGTTCCCTCGAAAATGGCACACGAGGCTTCGTTGAGACAAAAAGACGGGACGGCAGAAATGCACCTCTTAAAAGAGACTGTCCCGGCCAAGATGGGACGTTCGGTCACCGTAGTCATAGGCCTTTATGCGGAGCGCAAGTTCATCTGCTTCTTGTACAGGGGTTCCAATGACGTCAGAATGCTGAGCTCTCATTGGCTGCTTGAAAAAAATAGTGGGCAGACCTCAAGGCATCTAGCACTATCCTTTCGATCAAAGCCAGTCAGTGCTCGGCGTCATTCTGACATCACTGCAACTCCTGCGCAAGAAGCAGATGACTTGCTCCCCGGATTGGCCGGCCGAGCTGCTGACCATCCGTCGGTGTTGTGGTCCCATCCTCCGCAGGACCGGGACAAGTGCAGCTGTCAGCAGCTGACTGTGGCTGCGACGGGCGCCCTTCCCTCGGGCGTGAACCCGAGCGCGGGCTACCGCTTCCGGCGCCTCCACGAGCCTCTCATCACGGGGGTGTACGAGTGCAACGCCCAGTGCAAGTGCTCCAAGCGCTGCCAGAACCGGGTGGTGCAAAACGGCCTCCGGTGCCGGCTCCAGGTGTTCCGCACGGAGAAGCGCGGCTGGGGGGTGCGCTGCCTGGATGACCTGCCCCAGGGCTGCTTCGTCTGCATCTACGCGGGGCAGCTGCTCACCGAACAGGGCGCCAACGAGGTGAGCAGCAGTCTCTCGGCGATATTGGAATGCAGCGAAGTGTCTACTGTACGGCTCAGAGGCTGTCTTCACACGCCTATTGCTTTTGCTCCAGTGCCATAGATAGCCTTTTCTTTTTGCAGTTATTGTACAGCTATGACCCAGCTCAGATCGATAAATGACCTCTGTGATCAGGAAATGCCTTCATATTATGTATAATATGTATGCATATAGAACGTTTATTTTTTATTCTATTGTTTCTTTAATTACCCAATATTTTTTTTTTTACTGTTGTACAATTTGCACTTGCTTTTTGTGTATGCTTATTTTGTTGCAGGTTTATATTTCTGTAGTCACTTATCTTTATAATCTATCTAATTCTGTGTTGTTTTTTCATGCTGCATTCCATCTTGCTCGCTGTTAGGGGGCAGAGACGTTGTCAAGTCGCTACGGCAGCTTTTTTCTCCGTCCCGTACTCCGCCACAGAAAATAAGATTATTGTTATTATTATTGTCATTATATATGGGAAATTCCAAAAGGCTGCAACGTGAAGTCTCATCTTGCTCGATTATCTCCAGCCCATTACATATCTTGGTGGTAGTATGGCAACCAGCGTGGAGTACTTGGCTTGAATGGCTCTGGCTCGTTACGCTTCTTGGTGGTAGTACGGCAACCGGTGTGAAGTTGAGTACTTGGCTTGACTGGTTCTGGCTCGTTATGTGTCTTGGTGGCAGGACGGCAACCAGTACGGAGACGAGTACCTGGCGGAGCTCGATCACATCGAAGTGGTGGAGAAGCAAAAGGAGGGCTACGAGAGCGACGTGGTCAACTCAGAGGAGGAGGAGGAGGGGGATGAAGAGGCAGCAGTCAGCGACTACGACGACGACAGCGTCGAGTAAGTGCCACTATTGACGTCCCTCTTGCCGTGTGGTCACAGACATCTTCTAATTTAAAGGCAGTCTCCTTTTATGGCCTAAGAGCTCATTTTATGAACGAAAAAGGCAATTTTGTGACAATAGTCAGAGAGCGGGGGCAGCATTCCAGACAGGTGACAACAATATAAAGGGGCAGACCTCTGGCTGCTTCGTTCAGCAGTTTAGGCGTTATGCGGTTTCTGGTGACCCGGTGGGGCAGACTGTCCACGTCACAAACTGCTTGTTCTTTTGTGGTGCCCAAGAAAGCCAATCAACAGCTAGTTATACAGTCTTTATCTCTGCGTTGTTGAGTACTTGGAACTTCTAGCGGTTCAAGAGAAAAGGAGTTGCATCTTTGTTTCCTTCTTGTTCTTAGGTTTCGGTTTCTTGCTTCTGTGATTACGGTGTGCATCCAAAATTCCTCCAGGCACAGCAAGTGACACTTTTTTCAAAGACTGACGTTTCATTAAGTGTTTTTTTTTTTGGGGGGGGGGGGGGGGGGGGGGGGGTTGTTTTATAGATTGCTGTTTTTGTTACAAAGCTTGAATGCCGTTTGGTCCACAAAGCAAGCTTTGGCCTTTTAAAATAATTGATTTTTCGTAAAGCCTCTGCTGAAAATCGTTCTACCTCGACATCTTGTCGACGAATCTGGTGGCAAAACATCCTCCAGTGATAGGCTTTGCTGGTACACATTTCTAAACTAATGTTGCGGGGGAACGATAATCAACATGCTCAATGTAAACCAATTTTCTGCATTTCCGGAGAGGGTAAGAATTGAGCGAAATTGTTTCCTTACGAAAACTTTCGACTAAGGTGTTGGCTACGTTTTTATATCCCGGAAAAAGGAAACACCATGGAAAAAGTAGAGGACTGCTCGGTAGGATGAGGAAGCGAAGAGAAAACAAAACACTTGAGGACCACACAACAGCGTGGTGAGTGTCAAGAAGAGGAGGGTTTATGGAGGATCCCAGTAGCCGGTGATGGAGGCTGGTCGAAAAGGCTATACGGACACAACTACAAGGCGAATTGCGAGGATGCAGTGATCGGTGGATGGTACACTCGCAAGATCCTGCGCATTGGTGCCAAGGACAAGTGCTGGGCAGTATGCCGATCGGCTACTTCGAAGGGTGCCCAGGACGCATGCTTGTGCTTGCAATTGGCACTCCAGATTTACCTTTATGGAAAAAGACATAATTGTGCGAGGGTTCAATGGAAGGAAGGAGCAATATTTACTGAGGTACGGCGCTCTCATTGGTGATGGTGATAGCAGTGTGTTTTAGGTGCGTAGCCGGGGGGGGGGCTTATGGGACTTCAGCCCCCCCCCGAAATCCAGCCGACGCTTGTAATAAACACATGCATTTTGACCACCCCTCCCCCTTCACGGAAAATCCTTCGTCGTTCTTAATTAATTATCAATTTATTCGGAGTCAATCGTTGAAATTAAAAGCTTCGACAGGGTCGCGCGAGCTGCCGCCTGACTAGAAGGGTCTAGTTGCACCCATCCATTCATTACCACCCAGAAGAGAGGTGTCTGCGCACTACAACGTCGTCGGCGGATCCCCGAACCGTCCCAAGCGGCAAACGTGCCGAAGCTTGGCGAGAACCGAGACTCCTTGCAGTCAAGATCCTGCGGTGCGTGAGAGTGACGTCAATGTCTGACGACTTTGCCGCGATGCGTTGTAGCTTTTGCTGTGACCGTACCGTGGGTTGACGCGGGACCGCCAACTTTTTTGTATGGGAGAGTTACGTTTTAGGTTGGCATTTATCTCTGTAGGAGTTTTTATTGAATCTCTCCTGCATGGGTGTAAGCACGGAAGCATCGTGACAAATAAAATATTTTGAAGTTGAGAAAATGGTGCTAGACATTTTTCATCTGGTTGCTCAGTCTCTTTGAATTGCAGATTCCCAAGAAGAGTGCGTTACTCTCTCTCCAGTATCTACAACAGTGTGCTAGTTGTACGTGGTGCGCGAAGAACAAAGTAACAACAAATGCCGAAGAGCTGAGCTAATTTTCAGTTTTTATTAATTTCTACTTTGTCTAACAATAATATTCAGCTTGACATTTGTCGTCCTTCTATAAATACCGTAGACCCTACTTAACCGTACTTCACAAGAAATATAACGAAGCTTGCAGAGGATAGGACAATGGAGCAATGGTTCATTGACACATTGTGCAGCATTTTACGGGCATCCGTCTAAATAAATATACAAAAAGCAACGAAATTTTGTTGAAGTGGATTACGAGGTATGTAAGACTCGGTGCAACAGACAAGTCTTGCCCAACCTCTAAAATCTTCCTCTGCCCTTGGTTTCTCGCAGTGAGGAGGAACTCAAGGAAGACATGTCGGATTCGGACGGCGACACCGACACTACTGAAACCAACGGGAAGATTAGGTTGGTCAATTTGTTTCTCCCTTCAGTCTGAAAGTCTACCAAAATGCTTAATTTTAGAGATTTTTATTCTAAAAATAGTTTAGGACACATTCTTTTAAAGAACACATGCAAAGGAAAATTTTTTTTTTTAAACAGTCTAGATAGAAAAAGAATGCCATAAAACAGAGAAAAAAAGTATAGAGCTACATTTACAGCGCGAAACGAATTTGTAGGTTGTGTCCCTGGGAGCCGCCGCTGGTCATGTGGTAGACCTGTGCGACGCCACCGCACGATGAGCGTGGTGCATCGGCGGTTGAACGCGTTTCTCCACGTCGCCGCCGCCACCGGGAAAAAACACTCTGGCGTGCTGCCGTCATCAATTTCTGACCGGCGCGCAGGTCTATCACGTGGTGCTTGCGCTCTTTCGGAAGCTTCCTTTGGGCTCTAAAAGTTACTCATTAATCTTTATTTGAAGTCATACTGAACAGAACAGTGCACAAAAAGACTAGGACAGAGAATGAAGATGCACAACACACAAGTGCTGACTCGCAACTGAATTTAGACACAAAAGAAAAAAAAAGGAGGACGTTCTGAAAGACACGCAGTGCGTGTCTTTCAGAACTCGCCCAACTTACGACACTTCGTTTCAAATGTAACAATAAAACAAAGATTAATGAGTAACTTTTAGAGCCCAAAAGAAGCTTCTGAAAGAGCGCAAGCACCACGTGATAGACCTGTGCGCCGTGCAGAAATTGACGGCAGCGGCGCACCGGAGTGTTCCCTTCCAGCGGTGGCGTGGAGAGACGCGTTCAACCGCAGCGCGCCACGCTCGGCGTGCGGCGACGCACAGCTCTACCACGTGACCCGTGGCAGCTTTCGCGGGCGCCAAATACATTTGGATGTGTTTTTAACAAGGTCGTGAAACATTTTTTTTTTTTTTTTCCTTTCAAAATTTAGAGCTATTTGGTGTCTTTTCTTTTGATCATCCGATTGATTTACTAGCGTAAAAAAGATAATTTCAATTTCCCGGAGCGTTTCGCTTCGAGTTCTAAAGATACTTCACGATAGGTAACTAATAGGGAATTTTCGTTGTCTGCGCAAGGTGGCGACATAGGCCGGACTCTATGGGCGAAGCCAGAGTGTCGGATATCGCTCCAACAGCGGCGCGCTGCTGTTGGAGCCTTCCGTTCGGGAAAGTTTTGAAAGTGTGTCGCGCGTAGACGTCTTTGCCGCATACCGTACATATCGGTCGTGGATTTCTGGATCGTCCAGCTGTTGCAGTGAGCTGCACTGATTAGTAGTTGCTATTATGCACTATTAACAATGCTCGAAATCTACTCGAATGGATCTGAACTACTCACGTCGCATGGAAATGCAGATAAAAGCAACGCTGTTAAGTGTGGATTACAGACCAGGGGCGTTGGAAATGTCTGGGAGTTTGGGGGGATCGAGAAAGATAGATTTCCGTTCCCTGCTTTCGAATCGATTGCTAGAAACATCTCGACAGCAAAGAATGATTGCCGCCGCCGCCGCACTGTACCCCCTCTGGTCTGTCGGCACGGAATCAAGCTTGTTTCTGTCCTGTGAGTGCCGCATGTTCCAAATACGGTCGTTGGAGTAAAAAGAAACGCTGCTCTAGAGGCACATATACCTGGTTGCACGACACACCTTCAGAATCATTTGCACGGCAACGATTCTTGATTGGTCTCTGTTGTATTTGGCCACCAGGGGGCTAGTATTCTCGGGGACTTTTCCCGTGCAAAAAGAGGTGCAGAACTGTTGTTTGCCCCACCATCTTGTAGCACGACGCAGTCCGTCTTCCGCGCGATCTTGTAATAAACAGTTCTATACGTTCCCCTGCGCCACCCTTGATGCAACAGGATGCAAGCGTGCAAAGGCAGACACTCGGCACATCAGCGTGCCAAGGCATGTGCTTTCATGACCTTGCAAGACTTGCGTTTGACGAGTTGTGCCTTTTTCCTCCGGTGCTGCGCTTTCGAAAAAATTTCACGCTTTCTCAAAGGCAATTACGACCGTTTTCATATGGTTTTAAAAAAACTTCGGCAAATGACGGCGAATAAGCGGAAAACATGTCTTCGGCACGCGGCCGCCCAGTCGCCACAACGGTCTAAGAGGTTGACTTCCAGTACTTGAAAGATGGCCGATACGGAACTTCCATTTTTTAGACCACCTGAGACTGGGTGAAAGAAACACGACGACGTCTCAAGAGACGTCGTCGTGTTTTTTCCACCCAGTCTCAGGTGGTCTAAAAAATGGTAAACTTACACCAGCTCGCCTGTGCCCTAACTGTTTTTTCACGGAACTTCCAGTTGCCGCACTCACGCTGCAGCGACCAAGCGGGGATGCGCAATCCAGAAAATTGTCATAGAAATCAGTGATTCGAATCCTCTTGCGATTATTATTTTGTTTTGCTTGACTTTATGTTTTATTATAATTCTAATCCACACTGGTTTCTTCACTTTATGCTTTATTATAATTCTAACCCACAATGAGGTTCCACAAGTGCCTTCCATGACAAATGCGAGCCGCGGCGGGACGAACAGCCTATTTACAATGATTACCAAACGACAGAAAACTCCTATGTGTATGAAACCGATAGTTTACCGCAATTACACAATGTAGTGTCATACAATTGATAAAAGAAAACGCTAATAAATAACTCACCGCTTTTATCTCTTCCAATTTAATATTTGTAGATTAAATAAAGTTGAGTATCTGTTCAACCTTTTAACAAAGCTATTGTGACATTTTGTTGCTCATGCTGCCAAGGGGTGTCGCATGGTCATTTCAGACAGTTAAAAAAAAAAAAACACGATTTCAACGCGATACAGTCAAACCCGTTTATAACGAACAGCAGGAAACGTTACGATCAATTCGATATAGCAAAAACGATTTACAACGAACTTTCACGATGCATTCGTTTTAAGGCGAGAGCTTCTATCTCTTTCTCATCTCTTCACTTCCCCCTTGTAACAACGTGCAGAAAAGTTGCTTTTTTTTTTTTTTCATGTGTGCAGAGTTTGTTCTTTTAGCTTATCTCCCCTTCTGAATCGCTTCTCTTGTTGGGAAACGCTTTGGGGTGAAAAGTTTTTTGTTTTTTTTCTGTGCGTGCATGCAGAGTGTATTTTTGAGCTTACCTCCCCTTCTGAATCGCTTCTCTTCGCTCAATTTTGTTCGGAACTTGAGCTTTTGAAATTTTCTTTCTTTCCTACTTCTTTTTTGGGTGAAGGGACAGGCTAGAAGTCGGTTGTTTGTGCGTTTTTGGAAGCCTTCCAAGGGGGAAAAAGTTTGATATAGACAATATGTTGTTCGTTATAAAAAGTACTTTTTACTTGCATTTTTATTTAAATTTTCCGTGAGTTCGATATCGACAGTAATTCGCTGTACGTGGGTTCGTTCTAAACAGGTTTCACTGTATGGCTGCGATTAGTACATGTTTGAAAATGACCGCCCAAACGTGAAACCGCATGTGTTGCCACTTGTTATATCTTTGGCGAGCTATGAGCATAAGCACGAAATGGTCGCTCCGTACATCTATCGCTCTGGCGATAGTGGCGACTGGAGCGCCGCGTCTTTAGGTTCCCACTTTTAACGCTTCTCAGAATTTAATTCAGAGGATGCAAGCTTACCATCTGATGGAGAAGCTCCGTAAACTACCTTTGGTTTGGAATCTGAAACCGCCGGAATGTTGCAGAAGCGGACGCGCCAAAATAAAACCGAACGGAAGAGGAGTGGCACCTTGTTGCCTTCAATATTTCCATTCAATACTTCTAAACCTGAACAGCTTGCAAGCACTGTACGTGCTCCCGCTAGGCAAGAAAGAAAAACACTTCTTCATCGACTCTTTCTTTATACTATTCCTTTGGAAACAAAACCCAACCACTGGGAAACATCTTTCGGGAAAAGACAAAAAGAACTCTACTGTCAAAGGGGGAGAGTATCGCTAAGGATTGGGGGTCCTGGGGTATACCTCTGGGAAATGTGCCATGGAGAGATAACAAACTGTTTAGTGCTTTCCTCTCATTATTATGATTTTCGCAAGCTGCATTCTGAGTCAGAGAGTGATTGAAAGTCTGCAACGGATGCGGGATGCCCACTTGTAGGAAGAGTCAACGGACACCGAAGAAGAAGGAGAAGAGTGAGGACGGTGATACAGATGAGTCCAAGGACAAGCCAAGGGACAAGCCAAAAATGGAGCCAAGGAAGCTTGGGACAAAGCTGGAGGAGAGCCCCAGGAAGGTCACAGACGACGAGTCCTCGGAGTCCAAGAGCCAGGATGGCCGGTCGGCCGATCAGACGGGTATGACGGCCCCTCTTTTGAATCTGATCAAATTTTTCAGGCAACTGATGCGGTATTATCGATATGACTCAAGATAGTGTTTGGGAATGCCTTGTAACACGGTTCCGGTTTTGACTCGACTACTTGCGTGTCCTCCAGGTGATGACAGTCAGTCAAGCACTATGTCCGAGAAGCCAAAGAAGCCCCTTAAGGTGAAGAAGACAGCAAAGAAGGAGGCAGGTTAGTGGATTCCATTTGTGGCGTCGATGCTCGTTCTTGCCTCTATGTGGTTATGCTTTGTTGCACTATAAACGTGAGCAAACCCGAAGCTATAAGCATGTACATGTTGCCTTGACCAAAGCTCTTTTTAGCATGAGTGTGCATGCACATTGTGACCCGCCCGAGCTGGGACACCCTCTCATATCTTCCGCTTTGTTCAAGGTGAAACAGCGTAGAGGTGGGGACACTGGTTGCATAGGGTTGCAGAAAACAGTTAGCTTATGCACAAAAATTTAAGCTGGATTCTACCTCCACAAAAGAATCAAGGACTAGATAGGAGTAAGTGCACATAATACGGATCTGATTTCAGAAATTAGGTTTTCTTAGATTGCACTTCGAATTTCGTAAAACTGAACTGAACCTCGGGCTGCTTGTTTTTAAACTTATATCAAACAAGGTATATTTTTTTAATTTCGCAGAGATAAAAGTTGATAGAAAAGAAAAGTCTTTGAGTGTCTTTTCCCCTTTACTGCTCCGGCGGACTTTTACAATAGGCCTTCTGCGTTGCCCAGAGGTTGCTGCGACAAGGGACTTGTTAGAACTTGTTTTGGGTAGTGCAAACTTGAGCATCTCAAACTGTCACGCATGTACCGTAGAAGCGTGCCCGCTTTGGTGCGGAATGCGAGATCATGAGGAAAATACATACAAACAACAAAAATTCTAATGCCTTCAAAGCACAGGTCAAAGCTAAGACGCTAAGAATGAGAGCAGAGACGCCGTTTCATGCATTCCAAAGTAGAAATAAAAAATTTAAAATAATAATAAAAGCATTGAAACATTAGATGTTTTGACATCACCACCAGGGTGTCGAACCAAAATGTTTCTCGTTCCGGTCCAGGGAAAACAGTTCAGCTCTGGTTCAACTCTGGAGTGAAAAAATAAAGGTTCGAACCGGTTCGTACTCATATGCTACAAAAACAATTGACGACAGCAAAAGACTATGCATATTTTATAAAAGTGTTACATCTAAATAGCAAAGCCTCAGATTACTGTGTGGAACAAACGAGTTAGTGCTCGGGCACCTCGGGACGTGCGTGAAAGCGCAGTTCAATGTCAGGCAACTGACCGAAGAAGCAGGACGTCGTCAAGCATATCCGGAGAAAGACGGCACCTCCGAGACGATAAAATGAACCTCAGTGCAGAAAAGCCTTGCTCCACGCTGACCTGGGTCGCAGGCACTCCCAGGGCTACTTGCGCCAATGCGCAGAGTTCTGGATGGCACTGCCATCTCTCCTCCCAAAACTGCAACACATTAGCGTGCCTTGAAAGCCGCGGCTCCTTGTCTAGCATTTCCAGGAGGCATGTTATAGAAAGTGGGCTACTGGTACCTCGAACCTGCACGCCAGACTCAACCCCTTTTTCCTTGAGGAGCTCTTCCATGGCGTCTTCCGGAGCTTCTGAAGCCGCCGCAGTTTCAGAAGACAAGGTAGAATTTTGCTTGCATTGCAGAGCTGTGATCCGCCTCCAAGTCTTTGTCAAATAAAATGTGGCCCGGTACTTTTGCTAAAGGGTGAAAAGAAGGCAGTAGCGGGGGATTCATGTACACTGCTGCACAGAAGACATCTGTGTCAAGAAGTTGTCGCTCCCTCTTTTTGATTGACTGGACCATTGCTAACGGCGACAATATCTTGGAAGTGTCCATGGAATATCTCAGCCATGCGCCGTAGAAATCTCATATAGTAAGCTGTTCCTTCTGCAATCTGTTCGTCGCCACGTCTGCTGGGCGAAGTGATACCTACTGCAAGTATTTCGACTCCTGCCCATACGTCTTCAGTCGACCTGGTAACTTTCTTCTTTTGAGAGCAACTCTCCAATGAAGCCTCTTAGTTCAAGTAGCCTGGTGAGCATACGCAGCGTGGACATCCACCGCGTTGGACAATCAAGCATTGGTTTCTTCAATCCTAGCCTCCTGACCAGGGACATAACACATATTGGACTCATAGTTTCTTAACAAGCGCACGGCTTTCTCCGGTTTGCACGAAAATAAGTAGTTTTTTTTTTTTGTTGTTTTCCATTTTCGGTTTATTTTTTAAATTATTGTGTTCAGTGGCGTACCAACTTGTTTTTGAGTTGGGGGTGAACCTCCCCCTCTCCCTTTAGGCCCGGGGGCATTGCCCTTGGAATCCCTTGGGTGCCGCCGGCCAGTGTTTGCCCTGCCCAGTGGCGGCTGTTTCAGGGGGGGGGGGGGGGAAAAACACATGCCTTGCTCCCCTCCCCCTGGTTGGTACGCCCATGACTATGTTTTTCGCCACGCACTTTTCATGCGACCCGACTTCGCGTATGAACCGAAAATCGCATGAAAAACATATCGGTTCCGCTCCGGAGCGAAAAAAATTATTTCGTTCTGGTTCAACTCAGGTTCGAGCAAAAATAATGTTTTTTTCCAGTTTTCGGTTCACGGTTCAATACCCTGGTCACCACCTAGAGATAAGAGACTCGTACCCTAGCAGGGGTGGCATGAATCTGGCACTTTTGATTGTCTTGCGGCGTTAAATCTAGCAGATTTTGGATGTCCAAAGATGTTTTTCCGTTCTTCAGCACCACACAAAGAAAAAAGCTCAGCCAACATGCCATAAGTATTGCGAGGCCCAATCAGGTGAACTTGTACTACACAAAATGAGGGCGCCACAGTTTGTTCAAAGCTTCAGAGCAGGAGGCCTATCTATCGGTAGTTCACCAGCTCCAGTGTTCTCTACGAATTTGGTGTTTGTCAGCACACATTCTCAATGGGTCTGAATTCAGCATGTAATGTGTGAATCAAAAAAGTCTCTTTTAAACTTGACAGCGACATCTGAAAGCAAGCGAACACGTAGGCAGTTTACTGCATAGCTAAAATCTTTTGTTCGTTTTTTTTGGGGGGGTTCATTCTAATTACACATCACTAGGGGAAGGCAGGGTTTGCTACTACTGCTATTCACATTCACATCAGTTGCGCAGCATCCAACGCTCTAGATGCCAGGAACGCTACCTGCCAGTGGCATTTTTCGAGACTGTCTCCTCCAACGCTAGCTGTCCACAAAAGATATATGGTCAAAGCAATTCAGGTAACTATAAGTGAAGGGAAGTGCATTTTTACAGGTTCTAAGCTGCTGCCCTTCTGCTTGCTTTTGCATAGCGCTGGTTGGTTCTTTGGGCAAATTGTGCACTGCAAGCATAGCTATGCAGAGTGCAAGTTGGTCTGCTTTTTTTTCCAGGGGTTGTGGCGACGTCAGAACGCCGAGCTCCGATTGGCTGACTGAAGGATAGTGGGTTGACATCAAGGCAGCTTGCTTTGAGGTCTATCTACCCACTATCCTTCCATCGAAGGAAGCCAATGGGAGCTGGGCATTCTGATGTCACCACAATTCCTGCAAAAGAAGCAGACAAACTTGTGTTCCGCACAGTGCCCCGTTCAAACACTAGCCAATGCAGCCACGTCGCCTTTGCAGATAAGGCAGGCAAAGGTGACGGCAAGGTGAAGACCGGGCCACTCGAGAGTCCCGGCATCGGCGGAAAACGACTGCGGTTTCCGCCCACTCGAAGCTTCTTCAACGAGGAATACTGCTACATCATGGATGCCAAAAACTGTGGAAACATTGGCCGCTACCTCAATGTAAGTGGCGGGAGTGCTGTCACTGTCGTCGTCCTGTCGGTAATAGTGTCAGTGGTACAAGTATTTAGTCTCTTGTGTGGAAAGTTATCATCACAGTGTGAAAAAGCCTTTTTTTAGGCTCTTTCACACTGGGAGGGAGGAGAGGAGGGGAAGAGGGGAGGAAGGGAGTCTCTCCCATCTTTGCGTGTAGCAGGGGTGGAACGGCTGCGCCATTTGCGCCATTTTGCGCCAGACGCATTTATCTGCGCCATCCTGCGCCATTTCGCGGAAACTGCGCCACAGCCAATACATCGCGCCATTGTGCTCCAAATCGCTGAACGTGCGCCCAATTTTTTTTTTTTCATTTTGTCTTGGTTTCGGTTTTTATCGACTCGATTGGCAACAATGAGCGCGTTTAGCTTGGTCGGCCTTGCAATCCTTTGTTCTGTTTATTCTTCCTTTGTATCCCAATTCCCGAGTCGGAAGCGCGCGAAAAAACTCGGGGTTCCAATTCCAAGTGCTACACCACCTGCGACTGGATTGTTTTTCTTCAACCATAAGCGGCTAAGCAAGTCGGCCGAGAAGAGGTAGAGCCGTTAAGCGTCAGATTACCTGAGGCTCTGCGGCCCGGGTTCCGGACGTCAGGCAGTTGAAAACACATTAGCAAACGATTCCTTTAGTACTTCTTCTTTAGAAGTTGGAACCGCATTCCTGCAAGATAAATCGTGATTTGATAGAACTGAAACGCAGTCCGATCCGAAACCTTGCCGGCCAGCAGCTCTCACGCGAGCGATAGATCTTGCTTGACAAACCTTGCTCCTGCTTATCGCTAAGAACACAATAACTCCGTTAATCGTAGTCTGCTGCTTCAATATTGAGTTATACAATAGTATAAACTCGGAATTTGTTGTCCTGTTCCTCCGCGCAACTGCACGTCCGTTTCTCACGCACGTCACGTGGTTCGCACATATAATTACCATCTCGAACAGGTGTGAGTTGTGCCATAAGCAGTGCTGGTTTGCATTTTGAGCAGCTGAAAGCCACTCAGAAAATATCAAGGACACTATCTGCAGAAACATATGGTACTTGCTTTTTGGTTCTCATTAAGGCTCACAAGGTTTCAAGTTTTCGCATCTGTTACACTGTTATCCCACCTACATAGGTCCCTAACCACCATCTGTGTTGTTCTTTTGTGCTGCTAAGCACAACTGAAATTGCTCCCGTGCTTGTCTAAAACACAAGCTGAAGTGCAATGAAAACTGATCTGAGCTGCTCCTAGCCTGCTCCAGAACATCGTTTTAGCTGCTCCCAACCTGCTCCAAAACAGCTGTTTCAGCTGCTCCCGTGGCTGCTCCCAAGTACATTTCATGAGTTCCACCCCTGGTGTAGTAGTACATATACTGTACAATTCACGGGTATGGACGTCCCCAACCCCCGGTGGGCTGGAACAATTCGGTAGTCATTCAATATTTGTCTTCCTTTTAAGAACAACAAACAAACACAATGATTTTGGGGGGGAGGGGGGTTACCCCCCCCCCCCCCCGTCCCCCGTCCCTTGTTTACGCCACTGCTTGGTGGTGTAAAAATGTCTTGCTTGGAGAGTTCTTAAAGGAGCTGTGCAACGATTTTAACGTTGAAAGAATTGGCATCTTCTACTTTTCACATTGTTCATCTTGTCACAAAGGACAGAAAACACACCTCCTTCCTTCGAAATGTTGCGATTTGTGTAATCGCGAGGCAAAAATTATAATATTCCCCGACCTGCAGCTGCGAGCGGCAGCAATGAGAAACACGCGGCGTGATGTCAATGGGGGGTCTTGTAGCAAGATAGCAAGTTGTGCGAATACCTGCTCGATAAAAGGTAATTTTTCTATAAATCTTGTCATTCCAACACAAATATAAATGTGTCAAAAACCTGGTATCATCGACAAAACTTTTATTACACAGTTTTAGTGGCGCCATCTCTCCTAGGTCCACAAAACCGTCAGTTCTATCTGCTACTGCGAACAGCCGCCACAAGTTGGAGGGGGAGGGGGACAGAGCCGGACGGGTATGGCCAGACCCGGATGAGACTTTCCTCCTTTCACCATATTGTTTGCGCTGCGTCCGCCAGCACGTGGTCACGCGGTCGCGAGCGGATGACTTCTCGCTGCTCACTGATGGCTCTAGAGAAAACTTTACCGGAACCCCGCGCCTTCCCCATCGACGTCACTGCGCACATGATCCGGATGACGATGAATGAGTCGAGAGGTGGCAAAAACCTGGATCTTTTTTATTTTTTTAAAAATAAAAACTAGGGTATCCTAGTTTTTATTTTAAAAAACTAGGATACCCTAGTATCCTAGTTTTCGCTGGTTTGTAAAAATAAAAACCAGGCAAAACCCGTTTTCTGTAGTTCACTTCAGAAGTGTCAGGCATCAACTTCCACAATTATTTTAGCAGTCTTGAAATTGGTGTTCAGCTCCTTTAAGTCTGCTGTGTCAAAGTTGGCATTTTAATGTTGATCTTTATTTTCATCACTGGAAGAATTAGCCTAACTAAAAACATTAGGGTGAGGTTTTGGCTTGTTGGAGATGGTTGACTGCAGCTGCATTTCTGATTGTGTCAGCATTACGCACGGCGAGTTTGTCTGCTCCTCGTAAGAAGACTAAGCGGTGACAGTGCCAAGCTGCAATTGGAGGGTGCAGTGCTTGTACGCATGGCGTCGTCTGCTAGTCGTCGCAGCGGTTCCCTTGCCTTTTCTGCGACTGTTGGAAAACCATTGTTTTTTTGTGAACGAAGACTGTGCCTTTGAGGAAAGGAAGATTAAATACTTCGAAAGGCACACCGTTTTTGTTGACCAACATTTACCGGAGGCACCACAGTAAACAAAGATCTTGTGGGCGAGACATTAACTAAATTATCCACCAAAAATAATGCAGTCTGCTGGGGGTGGGGCTTGATTGCACACATGATCAATCCTGTTAATACTGCTGATTGGGAGAGTCGGTAAGGCATAATTACGAACCAGCTCACAGGTGGACAGTCCCTCAAAAATTCAAACACACAAAAAAATACATACACTCACACAGTGCTGAGTGAGTGTATTTTTTTGTGTCTGGGTTTTTGAGCGACTGTCCGCCGCTCAAATTACGCAGTGGAAATGGAAAAAGTGAGAGGGATTGATCATAATTACGAACTGCTGGTTCGTAATTATGATCAATTCCTCTCACTTTTTCCATGCCTTCTCCCTCGTGCATGAAGAGACGCATTTTGGTCAACTTGCTGGTTGTATAGTCCGTTTGCAGCCACACAATTAGTCTTGCCATCGAGGGGTGCTTGCATCGTTCAAAAATGGTACAGGAGCATTACAATTCTTTGAGGGAACGTGGCAACCGGGCATTTTTTGTTTCCCCATTTGTGAATTTCACCCTCATCTTGCAAACTCTGCTTTCCCGTTTTGCACCTGCAGCATAGCTGCTGCCCCAACGTGTACGTGCAAAACGTGTTTGTGGACAGCCATGACTTGCGGTTTCCGTGGGTGGCCTTTTTTGCATCTAGGTGAGTGAGTTTCCCTGCTGCGTCATCACGAAACAAAGGAGTCGGAACACCAGGTTTCATCAGGCTTATCGCTCAGATGTTGATTAACTGTTTATTCTGAAGATTATTTTTGTTTACTCACCATTTTTGTCGTACCTGTCAATAATGTAGGCTTGTGAGGTAGTTGAAATATACACTAACTCTCAAAATAAACTTTACAACTTTTCACTTCACTCCGTTTCAAGTGAAAACTTGAAACGGAGTGAAGTACTTTACAGACAGCAATTTCATCCTGGAGCTGCTATTGATTTTTGACATTTTAGTTGGCACTCTGTTTGCCTGTCCCTTTTTCTGAGTTGCAAATCTTTATAATTATGCACGACCATCATTAGAGTTACCAAAGTCACTTTATTCTGCGATGGGGTAGAAAAGCAAATGCATAAAAAATGCACTTTATTTTCGTTTGAGCGATTCCTGGGTTTCGGGTCGTTGCGTGCAGCCTGTTAAGTGTATGGAGAAGAGAGAGCATAATGAAGGCACAAGATTTAAAGAAAAAAACACCAGCATCCGTGTACTGATGCCAATCAAGCATGTAACGAGTTTTCCCGCACCTCGCAGGTACATCCGCGCCGGCATGGAGCTAACGTGGGATTACAACTACGACGTGGGAAGTGTGCCGGAACGGGTCATGTACTGCCAGTGCGGTGCCGAGGAGTGCAGGGGCCGCCTCATTTAGGACTTCCTCTGTTGCCTGCCATTGAACAGTGGACATGCCACCCTGTGCTGCCTACAAATTGAGTGGACAGTGCTACACACGGACTTCAAGTGGAAGCTGCTGCCCAGTGTTGGCCGCCTCGAGCAGACAGTGCTTCACACAGACTTTAAGTGGAAACTGCTGCCCAGTGTTGGCCGCTTTGAGCGGACAGTGCTTCACACAGACTCCGAGTGGAAACTGCTGCCCAGTGTTAGCCGAGTGCTTCAGACTCCAGGTGGAAACTGATGTCCGGTGTTGATGACATGGAGCAGACAGTGCTACACACTGGGTGGAAGATGCTGTCCAGTGTTGGTCATTTTGAGTGGACAGTGCTACACAGTGCCGGTCAGTGTTACCCACTTCGGAATCACAGCTATGCTCAGTGGGGCGGGTAAGGCGGGCATGCTGTTCACTTTAGACGGCTGTCCATGTCCACTGGGGCCGAGTCCTTTGTGTGGACGGTGCCAGATTGAATAGCGCTCTACCCACTTTGTCTGGGCAGTGATGTCCACTTATTTTTGGGTTTTGTACAAAGTATACATGTACCTATTGTGATTACGACCACCGCCGCCCAAAAACGAGCTTGAAGGCGTTTTTTTTGCGAGTGTATGTTGTATCTTGCAGTGATCCGAGTGAGTGCATAAGCAGGCAGCTTGTCTGTTTCTCTGTGGTTGGTCGTCACTGTATTTACATTTTTTTTTTACTTGGGAGTTTTATGAGCACAGTGAATCTCACCTGGGAGCAAGTGTGGATGTAAATAAAGGATGTTTGCTTAGATTTTCTAACCTTATCTATTTATTTCTTTGAAAAGGGCACTTCAGTGGACTGCACAAAGTAGGTGTTATAGAATTCCGGATGCGAGTGAAAGCGCTGCTCCAAGGCAAACAGCTTCATACCAGATAAGTTGCTGACCGATTTTTCGGACTCCGATAATTCGGACTTGTTCAATATTTCGGAACTAAAGGAAGAGCCATGACCCACCTGATAAACATATATACACAACCAATATTTCGGACAACTTGAAGTCCAAAAGTTACATTTTTCGGACAAAATTGTCGCAAGTGATCAGCGGGAAACACCACTGAGAAGTCACTATTTAGGTTCTACGTTGGCTGCACATGAATTGGCTTAGTTTGGCATCGCTACTAGAGTATTGTTAAATCATACTGCTAAATGCTTTTTTTTCTCTAGCTGTGCATCATTATCATTATCATTGTCACCATTTTGCTTTATTCCTTTGCCATTCTGCTGCAGTCGTGAACTTACGACTTTCACCTCGTCTTGGTGAATTATGTTTGTAGACTACGCTGGCTTGGACGTCATGGCCCCATTTGTTCTTCTGCCACTGCGAAATGTTGCTAAGAAGTGCGGAAGGTACTTGACCATAACACTAAGAAAAAAGGCAGCGATTCTCAAGCTAGTAGAAAGTGGCCAAACGCAAGCGGAGACGTAACTTGAAATAAGGCACTATTGACAGATTTTTTTAAGCCTGCTTAGACTTAATGAAGTCAAGTTTTTTAATCTGCTGATTTTTTGGACTGCTCTATTATTCATACATTTTTAGGTCCCTGCGAAGCCCAAAAAGTTGGTCAGCAACTGTACTACATTCTATGCCTATTTAGCCTCAATCACATACAAACACTAGTGATCCCCAACGCTTTTAAACATTTAACACCTTATGTACCATTCAGGAAGTATGCTCATAGCTTCAATTCTGTTCTTTAGTTTCAACAAACTCGGCAGGAAATAAAGTGTAAAACCTCTGTACGTTGGATTGCATACTGGTTCAAAGAACGCCAACAGCACAGTTCAACACTCCTGCCCGTTTTACACATTTCTCTACACAGAACAAGCAGTGAAGTGTGTACGTCTGACAGCAATGTTCCCGGAATCCAGAAGGGGGCTTGTATTATAACTCAAATGGTTTTAACAATCCCCTTTCCTATCCCTCGGAGCTAGAGACCGTGTCACAAATCATGCAAGTGTCCCGCAAGCTTCCCACCCCCGACATCGCATTTGGATGGTGGGGAGAAAAAGGGAGAAAATGGGAAAGAAACCAAGCAAACAGAAATCATGGAGGTTTCGGCATCAATCTATTACCAATTTTTTTACTTTTTGGCATCAATCTAATTATCAACTTTTTTACTTAACTAGAATGAATCTGGGAAAAGGAGATAGCATTTTGGAATTGAGAAGCCACCAGCATTTGGATGATGCCTTTGGACTACGCTCCTTTCACCCTTAAAGGGATACTTCAACGAAATTTGAAATATTCCCGTCGTGTTCAAAAATGGGTTGAATGTGATCCACAGTATCCGTAAAAGACAATCGCACGTTTGTATTTTGAGCCTGGTGGCTGTAATTTTCCTTATAAACGGCCCACTCTGGCAAGTGCTCGGAGAAGGCCCACCGGAGACCACGTGACATCCAACGCAATCGTGACGTAGGTCGTCTCAAGACGAGCAAAGCTACGGCGAGGCGGACGTCGAGAGGATGGCCTAGTCGTTCCAGCCACCGAAGCGGCTGCTTTTGTACGAATTTTGAGTGACGGGTTAATCTTCTATAATCTTCTAGGGGGACAATAGCGACTTCTGCGACACACAAAAGGGATTCTTGGGAAGAGGGGAGTTCCTCCTTCCCCCCTTCTCTCGTCGTGGCTGGAGACGAGACAACCTCCGTCACTAGCTGTCAAGGTTCCCAGACGAGCATTACAAACGAGGCGTTAGCGACATCCACCAGGTGCTCTTTGCTAATCGTTTAATTCGTTTTAAAATTCCTTTTCGTGACTTTTTTAACAAGACATTGGTATGTTCCATGTGATACTGCTCTTTTGAACACATATAGACCAAAAAATGAGCGCCGAAATTTCGTTGTAGTATCCCTTTAAGCCGAGACTGTACTGGAGCTAGGTGCCTGCCAGACCAATCAGCCGCCACTCTCTTATGTCGCTCATGACCTGGCTCTCTGCGCCTGGGTATGGCCAAGAGCGTGATGATGTGGCGAAGAAGAGGCGTAGGACTGCTCCAACGAGGACGTAGCTTCCACTGCAGTCTCAGCTTGGGGGTGAACGGAGTACTATACAGGTAACAAAAAAAATTGGCACTTTAGCTAAAGCTAAAACCGACATTGGGTTAGAACGCATTCATAGGAACCGCAGGTATGAGCTTCTGAAATGTAAAAAAAATTGATAAACTATTATATAAAGAGCAGGTGCTTTATATTAAAAAAATTACTAAAAAAAAAAAAAAGGAATCGGCAGATATGAAGATTTTTCAGTAGACCTTTTGCCACATTACCCAAGCCTCAAAGGGAAGGCTGGGAAAGTAGGTAAATGCACTGCTCTGTGCTGGCGTCTACAGCAGCGACTGTTCGAAAGCAAAAATGACTAAAACAAGTGGCACTTCACATGTGCGTCCCACAAATGCCTTATTTTGGGTATTTAGTTTGCATCTTCTATTCATAGAAGGCGAGCATGTGCAGCATGTATACCTACCATAAAATACCGAGCATCCGTTCGTCCCACAATAAGCGCCCACCCCTTGACTTTGTAACATTTGGAAAATACACATGGGACATACCACTACATATTGTTGACCTAAGGAGTGCCTATCCCCCAGTTCTACATGCGAAAGCATTAGCTGTCCCATGGAGCACAGCCGACATTGGCTGTGACCACGAAAACCAGGCATCTAAATAAACGGCAGTTAAAATGGCTCCCATTGGCTGCGATGCGTCATATCAGATGCTTCGTCACGGAAGTCGGCGGGGTGCTCAAGGTCAAGGCGGATACGCCTCATAAAAATACGCAAAGAAAAGCGCAGCAACGCAGATGCGCCATCACCGAAGGCGTGGAGCTGGTGGAGTTCGTCGTACCTGCGCAGTGGGGGAGCACGATGTCACCGCCGGAGCACCATGTGCTATAAGAAAACGTGGCGCGGTGCTTAGAGGAATCCGCCGAATCCGAAGAAAGAACAAGAACTGTACAGCAGCCAACAACCACAAATACAATCATCCTTCGGACGATCTCCCGGAGACATGAGCATACACAAAACTGTCCCACGACACCATTTCAAGTGAACAAGGATGCACTTGAATGCTAATCAAGCAAAACTTTTTCAAACGTCTCCAAATTTTTGATAGTAACAAAAAGGTGCACATCCAAACTACTCCCCTCATCAATTATCTTGAGCAGAAAGGAGTACTTAAAAACAAGTTTTGGACAGTATGGCTCGACTCCGAATTGATTGTTAATTCTGGGAGACCTTCCAGAGGTGTATAGAGTCGCTAGGACTGAACGTCTATTTAGTATAACGAATGGTCTATTCAATATTGAGCATAATGGGGGAAATTTTGAATTTCATGCTTTAGCAGCATACATACTTGGGGTAGTTACGATACCGTATTTACATTGCTAGCTTAATTATTTTCCGAGCAATTTGCAGTTGTAGTTCGTTAGTTTTGACCAAAAGTAATTGTAGTTCAATTACTTTTCAGCAGCCATAATTGCAAACTTTATACAGTAAAACCTCGTTATAACAAAATGGGATATAACAAACTAATGGATATAACAAAGCAATCATAATTCCCCTTGCTTGCTAATAGGGAAGAAATGGACATTGGCTATAACAAACTAATGGTTATAACGAAATAATTACAATCGCTCCTTCAACTTTGTTATAACGAGGTTTTACTGTATTCCAATTACAACCAAGAAGAAGCGCCGGAAACCAACACCGCTGCACTTCTGCCAGTTTGTGCGGCTTTTGGAAGCATGAACTCTTGAGCATACGCAGTCTCTGCCGAAAATTCAGAGCTCGGCACATGCGCGGCCAGAGTGGGTCAGGTCCCGTAGGGCGGCGCTGCTATCGCCTGTGCTCGCTGGTTGCAGGTGCCTCGAGAGTGAGGGGGCACCTGTTATATAAATGTCTCTTGCATCACTACTTTGTTGTCAAGGCAAGCGTGGCAGTACAAGCGTGATAATGAGTTAATTTAAATAGATTTAAGACAAAAGAAGATTAGGAACCAAAGAAACGCAGAACGCAAGTTCCTCTTGTTTCGCAAACAAGCGAATCGGATGCTAGACATTCACACGGCGCGACTCCAGTCTGCTAAAGTTTCTTCGATCTGCCTCGCACAATAGTGATGTATACGACTGCACGCTGGTACGATGCTCATCCAAATTATAACAGGAGCGGGTGGGGGATTGAGCCCAGAATCTCTGGGTTTTGCAATTCGAGCTTTTGCTGTATGCACTCAAGCTACAGCCCTTTTGTCTTGAAGAACAAGAGCGAACCGCAAGCGACTGTGGTTTTACTTGCTGCATGGCTACTGTCGGCGATGGTGGGCGAGTGCTTTTTTCTACGGCACCTCGATAGCGATTCCCCCGATGCTCGCTTGTCTTTGGGCGCTTCGCTGGTGCTGCCAAAGGGTGAGGTGCCGGGGGAAACACTAGCTGTGCAGGTCATTCAATCGTAATCGTAATCTTTATTGGCTCAGGAGAGCCGTGGCACCGCGGAAAGGCGACAGCCCGTACCATGGAGGCCCGCGGTGCCACGTCTAGTGATGATGATTATGAGATGATATATACAAGGGGGGGACGACGCGGTCTTCTCAACATCGCAAGCACCGTTGCTTGAAGGTTGGGTTTTTGCCAAGACACTTCTACCAGCTGTAAGAAGTGCCTGGGCAAAGGGTGCTGTCCGGAGGCTTCACCGTGCGGCTGGGAAAGCCTTGGCGATTTGATGGTGTTCAGGACGACGTGCTCTTCTGATCCGCCG